GTCAAAAACAGTGGAATGTTTTTGTTTCATTGAAAAGTTCTCAAACACCTCCATTCACAATGATGCCTAGCTGTAAAGGCTCTGGACAGCAAATATAGCAACCATCTGCTTCCTCCTAATAGAGTTATTCCTTTAGATTGACTTGGACAGGTCTATCTCTTTATTGCAGGACTTTTAAACCCTATGCATACTAAAACCTCTGTGCCTTTGTGTCTGTGACCCTGATGAGATAAGTAAGGACTATAGAGATTTCTCTATTGATATTTAATGCCTGCAAAGGGCATGAGGATATCGCCCTAAAAGAACAAGAAGCCAAGGTAATGCTGGGAAAGGGGCAGTCACTGTGTCCTTGTTGGAACAAGTCACTCAATATACTGGAACAAATAATTAAACATCCCATTTATAAGCACCGAGAGGATAATAACAGAGTGAAAGAAAAAAATAAGCAATGTACTTTTGGCAAGCACATATCATGCTACCCCAGCCTCATTTCCCTTTTTTGTAGGATATCTGGCATAGCAGATAATGCAGGAGCAGTATGTGTGATTATGAGATATATCTTGACTTCAGAAGACCTGACAGTCTTCAACAAGCTACAAGAATATGGCGGATGTTAAATCACCATCAGGATGCTTCAAAGAGCTGCAATCAACAGATCGTTATCCACCAGGGACTGAGGTTTTTGTGGGCTCCTACCACAGTCTGCTTTTGTGTCCTGATCTCTTGAATACTTTAATTAACACCTTCATGAAGGAACAGAAAGGAGTCACCTGACTTTTGTCGATGACACCAAGTTGGGGGCAGTTGCAAGTGCTTTGGAGACCAGGATCATAAGTAAATTGAAGAAGCGGTCTCCATGGAGAAACCAACCAGATGGCATCCAGCAACAGCGAGCACAAAGCACTGTGCTCAGGAAGGGAGGAAAAACAATTAATGTTCAAATACAGAAGTGGAGAATGAGATGCAGACTGTGCTGCAGACCAGTAAGAGAGGGTTAGAAAGCTGCAGAGAGACTAAGTGAAAGTAATGAGGCACTCTTATAAAAAAAAAAGGTAAACCTCACTCATTCTGGGGTTAGGTAAGTGAAGTGTGATAGGGAAAACATGGCTGGTATTTGTATCTGCATGACTGAATCCTGAACTGGAACTCCTTTCTTGGGTTTGGACAGTAAATTTAAGAAAACATGTAGACAAATCAAACAGTAGTGAAATATGTATGACACAAAGATTGGAAAATAGGACCTGTGAGAAACAATGAGCCTGTTAAGCTGGACTAGAGGCATCTGAGACACAGGAATTAATGGGTTTCAGGCAGATAAAAGGTAGTTCTGAGGAAGAGGAGGAGAAATACTACCACATATCTTGGAAGGACCAGAAATAATTGGCAGCAAAATCAATTTGAATCATACATTACTAAAGGCTTTTCAAATGCAAGGAGAGTGAATAATGGACATGCACCAGCTATGCAGGCACAGGGTGTCTTCAAAAAATACATGTTAGGGGCAACCACTGTAGAGCTGGTCTTGTCTCACTGCATAGGGAGGAACCAGACCATCTTTTGCAAGTCCTTCCAAATGTTTACTCTTCTGATCAGACACCAACAGAAATATCTGGGGTAGGAAACAGAAAGACTTGCTAGTGGCCATTACACCCCAATTGAAACAGCACAAAATGCTTTGAGTGAGGTGGTGGTTCAGAGCATTCTCTTCATTTATACATTCCAGTGCAGAGAGTGCAGCACCAGCATCATAAAAACTGAGCTGGGCAGACACAGCTCGCTCCAGTGCAATCCACCTTGCAAGCAGTGCTGCCCACCTGGGTCAGAAAGACAGAAGAGATGGCCACAGTTGCACTGACAAATCTTTTGGCAGTGAATGCCTACTTCTACCAGCAGAGTTGGCTTTATGTTTGAAAAGCAGGAAAGACCTATGAAGAAAACTTTTTCTACTTTTAGCTGTCCATGAAGTTCTGATTTTGTTTTTTTTAAGTGTTGTTTAATTACGTCCTTTTAGACGTCTACAATATGCCCCAGTTGAGAAGGATACTATTGGTGGATATAAACACTTAGGAAAGGAGCAGACTGAGTAGGCTTTTATATAGAGACTGGTGCTGGCTGACAAACCAGAAATGGCTCTTCCCTTGGAAATACTGGAGGGCACAGGCACACACATTAGAGAGGTGATGTCCCTCTTTCTGTGATACACTTCTGCATCTCTGGCCAGCAGAGGTTACCAAGTAGAGCTCACCATGGAGAAAGCTAATTTTCTCAAGGAAGGAAAGGACCTGCTCCTAGAAGGCAACTCCATTAGACTGCAGTGACCTAAATGCAGTGTATCCTCAGGATACACTGAAGCCCATCTATTTCAGTTGGCATTGTGGACATGGAGTGGTCTCTAGTTATAAGGGCTCCAACAGCCCTCTAGTAACTGCCTACTCATTTCTTAGTCTCTGGTATAGCTATCCCAATTATTTCTAGGGGTAATAGAGGCTGGGTTTCCACAGGGGATAGACAGATGAGAGAGTTGAACCAGGGGAGATAAAGGACTTGTCTTTAGGATACAGTGCAGAGGGGATCAGAAAAATCCATGACAGTGCTGAGTGAGCAGAACAGGAAGCCTGGGCATGGCCCTAAAACAGCCTATTGTTTCCAGGGCATGAGCAACTATCATTGCAGTATCTTTCACTGGCTAATCCAGGCATCAACTGTGTGCACAAAGACAGCAAGGTGTCTCTGACCCTGGCTTGTTTCTGTTTCCCTGGGCTTTTTTGAAGGGAATCATTGACCATCATTACAGAAATTCTTTTCACAGATTAGCAGGCAGATCAGTTGACCACCCTGTCATTTAATGTTTCCGGAGCTGTGTTTTCTTTTGTTTATTATTTTTACATTTGGGATACCCAGAGCTTTATATAGCCTACATTTTGAAATTTATGAACACAAAACCACAAGAAGTAAATAAACTACATTAAATAAATAACAAGCTTAGCATGACTCAATATCCAAACGCCTTTAATTTGTACTAACAGCAGACTATTTTTCAGGCAGACAACCTGCAAATCTGAGAAAAATAGCAATCAATATGACTATATGATACTCAGAGGCAAAAGGGATTCTAACATATTTTTTTCTAATAAATTAGTTTTATTAGTTAAGATTATTTTTAAAACATGGTTTAAAATGAGACTAACTCTTCCAATTTGTAAAGGATTTTTTATTTATATTTTGCTTGGTTTTTTTTTCAGATGAAATTTAGTTTTAGAAAATTAAAGCTATGAATTTCACCTAATTACAGGATTACAGTAACAGTGATATCACAACAGGTCTTTGGCTAAATCTGTAGCAGGTATTAGAACATGATTATCCACAGATACCTTGTTTACAGGCATCCAGAGTTTAGGTGTGTCAAAACTTAAATTTTCTCATTCTCAGAAAGGTGGCAGTAGTTCAGAGCCGGATACCTATATATTTAGGTGAAAGCTAAGCTAGAGAACTCAATTTTGCTGCTTAGGCCCATACCTAATAGGCACAAATAAAATTAATAATACATGTGCATGGCTCTAAAATTCATTTATCCCTATATTTTTCTTGACAGGTAAATGGAAATTGTGTGCTGCGAGATTTTACCAGCAATAAACCACCTCCAGACGGTTAGCTATGCACTGCTACAGCGAGCAGCGAGGCGGGGTACAGCTCCAGGGCTGCTGAGTGCATTTCACACCAGGCACACTCCAGCGAACACTCGGCCAGGCCGGGAGAGCTGCTCTGTGTGCTGGTGTGTGCCGCTCTTCACGCTGCTGGGGGAGGATTTTGTGCAAGGCAAACCAGGAGCCCTCCATCTCACTACACTTGTGTGTAAAGCATCACCTCTGACCATAGGTCTGGACTTCTTCACCTTGCAGATAAACACTTGGTAAGCTAGTTAGCCCCCCGGTTTGCCAAGTAGTACCAGCAAGAGGAAAAGTCCCTTCGTGCATGCATTTATATCCAGAGCAATTAAAAAACTTGCTGAGAGGAATAAAATCTACAGCCTTATGGGTTACTAGACAAATCAGGAGAAATAACAAACCCCAGCCTGAAAGATAATGTAGAAATCGAACATATCTGTAATATGTATCAAATGCATTTATACATACCCATCACCTAAGCTGCTCTATAAATATTTTAGATAAATGGACAGATAGACACAATGGTCTGAATATCAAAAGAAAAACAAAAGAAAACTGAGTAAACTCACTTGTTTGGTATTCTGGTCAGGACAGGATGGAACAAGTAAACTCACTAATGCCCTTACCAGTAATTGGTGAACCCTTTAATGCGTTTACTGTCTGTTATACCATAAATGCAGGCAGACAGATAGGACAGTGCTGGTTTGCCAAGTTTCCAGTTCCCTACAACCCACACAGGAGGAGGGCAGCTAAAAAAGGAGAGGGCAACATAAGGTACATGGCAGCTATCTCAGGTACCAGGTTTCACACATGCCTAGTGACAGCACACCCTGCAAACCAATGACCCAGCACAGAAAAACACCCAGAAAAATTAATTCCCCGGCCTTGCAAAGAGTTGACAATGGAAGGCAAAAAAACACAGCACAGTAGCTTGTTGACACAAGAAAAAAGAAAGGAAACCTGAGGAGGAAGGAGGAGGCGAAGAAACCAGAGGGTTGTCTGGGAAGAGATGAAGCAAGCACAATGTTCTGACAAGTGTCATTATGAACAAATGCTTTCCCCTCAGTGCCAAAGCAACCTGAGCAAGGAGCCAGGTTTGCATTATATTAGAATATGTCTTGGCATCACTGGTGTCCCCTGCTCTGTCACCACTTTTAAAAGGACAAACTGACAGCAGAGTAAAGCCATGCTGTGCTGCAGTGGAAGGGGACAGTCCTGCTGGCTCCTGTTGTAAACATAAGGGATACACAGGCTGGAGTTTCTCTAAGAAAGATGCAGATCCCCCCACTCACTGTTTATTTTGCTCTTTGCTCTCTTAACAGGCATGTTGCTTACCTTGCACGATCAAGTAAACCTGGGCAGTCTTGGGGTGATGCTGTGTTTGCACTGAACACGTATAGGACCCCTCATCATAGACATCCACTTTCTGGATCCGCAGGCTGTATTCCAGGGGGTTTCTCTTCTCCAGCTCTACTCGAGGGTCCAGGGACCACTTGTCCTCTCCAGCAAAAATGATGCCGGAACGGTTTAACCAGGCCACCTTGGAGCTTCTGTCTTCTACATAACACCTGCAGAGGATGAGAAAGGTGAGCAGGAGATCAACAACCCTCTCCATCATCTCCTTTTTGTCTCTCCCCTTTACTACTTTGCTTAGAAATTTCATAGCACATTCCTGCCTTGTCAGTGAACCACAGCATCTTCTCATCATTGCTGTCCCATGGACATGTATTTCACAATGATTTTTTTAAGGGCTTCAGGAACTTTTGGTTAATGAAACCATGGGATTTGAGGTGGTCATGTCTCCTGTTCTCTCTTCTTTATACCTGCACCAAAAGTTACTTTGGAAGGCCAAAAGAGATCCTGATCACCAAATCCCTTCTAACCCTGACAATGGGAAAGGTGAGAAGTACTTCTTCCTATGCTTTTCCCTCACCTTCAAAAGTTGAGTATACAAGAAAGTTACGCTCCCAGACTTCTTCCAGCCTGTAGGGCAAAGGTTCAGGGCTCCAGCTTTGTCAGCTAGGGCACAGCTCCTCCATCCCTCAGTTTCAGCAGCACAGGGGGAGAGAACTATAGCATATCTCCCTTCTACATCCCTCTGACCAAAAATAGGTTTGTGGAAAGAGGGATTCACTGCTCAAACTTTACCCTTCTAACACATACACACATACCCACCCTTCCCCGCTGATGCACATCTGCCTGCTTGTGCAGGCAAGTGCAGATCTCAGGCTGAAAAGGAGAGGCTGCAGGGTGTCACTGCCATCCCTATGAGACACGCAGCACATCCTGTGAAGATGTGCTAGGGGTGGCAAGCAGAGGAGCAGCAGGAGGAGCAGCAACTGCCATGGCCCCAACTGCCAACCATCACAAGGCAGAGGACTGACTAACCCTGTTGCAACTGCATGAGAAGTATTTTGGTTTTTGACAAAGCGGACAAAGTGCTGCAAAAATAAATACACTTCTGGCAAAGGCACCTGCTCTGCATCACTTCTCACCACCAGAAAACTTGCACAGAAGAGATCAGGAGATGCCAATGACAAGGCACGTCCTGCTCACTCTCAGCTGTGTCTTATTCAAGAGGACCAGGGCTGAAGAAGACACAGAGACATAACTCCTCTTTCCTCCTGGCAGCTGTACCCACCAGGGTGGGCCCAGATAGTTTGAGAGGGTTTGCCCTGCAGCAGCTCACACCACATTTGTTTTGTGGATAAATGGGGAAGCTCAGTCTCCAGAGGTGTTGCTCCTTCACCTCTCAAAGCTCTGCCCACCGTGTCACATCATCCAAACAAGCCAGCACCTCTCCCCACCACTGCTACAAAATCACAGAATGGGTAAGGTTGGAAAGGACCACAGTGAGGTCATCTGGTCAAACTTCCCTGCTCAAGCAGAGTCTTCTACATCACATTGCACAGGATTGTGTCCTATTCACTATTCATGCATGTGTTGTATTTGAAAGAGAAAAGAGAGAGGATTAAGATTATTGCTTCAAGATAAGACAAATATTTGACAGCAGGCTTTCATACAGCCTTTTAGCATTGGTCAGACATTTTCCAAGTTCCTCTATTTGAATGCATTTCATTCACGCTGTGCTGCAGCTGCCATCCCTTGTGATGTGACCCTACCATTATGGTCGGCACCTCTCACCCACTCCCTTTTGGCATGCCCATGGATGCTGTGTCCAAGTTGTTCTGGGGTTACTTGTGGGCAGGAGGAAAGCCAAGCTGTGTGAGCATCGATGAGAGGCTCACCACACTGCTGGCCAGCTGTAAGCAGCTCTCTCTGATCCAACAAACATTTGCTTTAGAGAGCAGCCCAACAGATCCTGTCCCTTACTACCACCATCCAGCCAAGGACGGGAAGAGGGTTTGGCCCTCAGGCCAGAGCCCACCCTCCCAGCCAGGCAGGCACTTGCCCCTGAGGTGAGCTCTCTGGTGTGATCTCAGTTGTTTTTAAAAAGCTGCTTCTTGTCAAATAGAAAGAGGCGGGGGAATCCATGAGCAGCCACTTACATGTAGAAAACAGTACTACTACAATGGGGCAGGATTCCAGTTGCATTGGCTGTCCCAGGCTGTAATCAGCATTGACAGGAGGTGAAAGCAAGGACCCAAGGAGGGCAGTGTGCCCCAGGTCTGGGAGCAGCAGCCCTGTAGGAACATCCAGACTGCCTCCAGAGCTGGCTGTCTAAGGGTCACAAGCCCTCTTGCACATGCGTTTCTGTGTAGAGTCGTAACAGCACCAAGAATCAGGAGTTAGGTCTTTTGGTGGTGAAAAGCTAAGCAGTTTAACAGCTGAAGTCAGTGGGAGCTGAAGGTTCTGTCACTTCTCCAGAACACCTGTATGTGCTGCTGGGCTCCAGCAGATCCAGGGCACGGCACCAGTCCTGCCAGGCTGCTTTCCAAACCTTTAGCGCAGCCCGCCATGGCTCTGTCCTGCACTTAGTCATTATAAAACTCTCTTTGGAGGCAGCAAAGATGGCCCTGTCATATGCCTCGTGTCAGGAACAGCTCAGTGCCATTGTCAGAGCAAAGCCTTGTCCTCTCGCTTCTGAGGGTATGTTCACCTGGGGACCCTCCCTCCTCTCTTTTGAAGAGAAAACATGTCCTACACCCATCAAGGTCAGCCCTAGACGGTGGTCAATAGCTATAGTCAGAAAACCTTGCAAATGCCCGTGAAATAAGTTATCAAGTGCTACCAAAATAAAAAAAGGAGGGGAGGGCAGAAAGAAAGGAGGAAAATGGGAAACATAAGTGAAGTGGATTTGAGCTCTCTGTTCACCATACATGTTCCTCTCAAACTGTCACGGAAAATCAACGTACAAATGTGAAAATTCCCAGTCCCGACATGCTCTGAACATGCATCTATGTGGATGATGCATCTCAGTACGTCTGTCTGCACACACACACCTTCTTAGTCTGCCAGAGATGCCACCCAGCTGTATGGATCACGCTTTAATAAGGATTTATGGTGATGATTTTCACAGTGTAATAAGTGCTAATTCAATACTAATAGAATATTAAATGGCATGTTAACTGACATTTTAACTGCAAAGCAATAGGAGCATGGCATCAGCAAGATATCAAATGACTCTTATCGTTCGCTAATAATCAATAATCAAGTTCACAGAGACAGTCAAACACTTCTCATTAGGCTTATTGAAAGCATTAGCATCAGCATCAGTGAAAGCTAATAAGCGATTTGTGATCCATTAATTTTGCTTGTCCTTACAGTTTCAGGTTTAATTTCTTGACATCTCCGAGGTGGCTAACAAGAGGACCAGTGAGTGGTGGTGGTCATGCCTTGCACGATCACTGCAGGGACTTGGGAACTATTGATATCGCACCAATTCAAACCACAGACACTGAAGGACAAAAGCCTTGCTGCCATGCCCCATTAACCCTCCTTGCCCCCTCATAAACAAACACAACCAAGTATGACACCTGAGGTTTTTTAGCGACAGCACCATTTTTACCTGCTACGGATGCACTGCTAGTTCTCACACAGTGGCTAACAACTGCATAACAACCAGCCAGGAGAGGATGGTTGGAAACAGGACATGGAGAAAGGAAGCAAGGTCATCCTCGCACTCTTCCCTCAGCCTCAGTTTCCTCACATGCAAATGCAGACAGTGGGGCTGAGGAGGGAGAGGAGAGGCTGATGCTTTTGTTGCAGGGGAATGCTTTTGGACCTTCAGTAGGAACCATTGTCTTGAATGGGATGGAGAGCTGCCCACTAGCATTCCTGGTCCCTGGATATCAGAATGGGACAGGACATCCGGCAGGGGGATGGGCAGGAACCAGGAGTAGGCCCTGCTGCTGGTCCTCACTTCTCCCACGTCTGCCAATCTAATGCACAGCTCTGGGCCAAAGTAGTACTCCTGCAAACCTGCCTTCGTAGGCTCCAAAGAAAACTCCATCTGGATAGAGAAGATGTCTTTTTTTTCCCTGTCTTGGAAGTATTATATTACATTACTTTACATTACATTACATTACGCCTATTGATAGGTGGGAAAGCGAGCAAAGAAAAGGAGAGTGAGGCTCAGGCATCCACATCTCCTCTCCTGCTGAACACCAAGGCTGGAGGTTTCACCACCTGTTCCGTTTCACTCGGGTCTCGGTGCTTGAATCCCAGCCCCCGTGACTGCTGCTCCTCCTCCCGCCGAGGCACCACTGCTCAGTGCATTGATTTCCCAGCATGTTGCTGTAACACTCATCGCAGTTTATGTTGTGCCTGTCACTCCAGCAGCTCTCGGCCCTAAGCTTTCCGCCCTCTCTTTCCCCCGGCGAACAGACGGGCACGCTGCTGAGAGGCGGCATTTAGTTGGGAAGCCCTTGCATGGGTTCCCCAGGCTGGCTGCACCATTGCCAGGATGGGCACTGCAAGGGGTCAGGAGAAGGAGGAGGAAGATGCATGAGAACTGGGGTCTCAGCAATTTTTCCCATTATGCCTCAGAGAGAACAGAACAGCAGCTATGGCCCTAGCCTATGGAGATGGAGCGGGGGTATTTCATTTCCTTGTGAAGGAGTGAATGATATTTAGAGCCTACAGTGATGAAGAGGCAGGAAGGAAGCCCTTTAGGACCTGGTGAAGCTGCTGTTTAAATTATTACTGTAACATGATGGGAGTTTTACAGCATTATCAATGATATGTTGTGTCGTCTTGAACCTGGGATAATTGTCTGGGGTTTTTTAATTGTTGCTGTAACTCTAAATAAACTTTTTTTTTTTTTACAGCAGACTCAGTCCCACAGTTCTCTGCCAGAGCCCCACTAGTTAGAAGAGGTAAGCTTCTAGGATTAATGAAATATGGTGTGCTGCAGCAAGCCACAGCTCTTAACTCATTTTGGGGAAAAATAAATAAATAGTGGGTTTAGAGACTATGTTTTCTGCCCTCTTCCTCAAAAGCATGTTGTGGTGACAGCTCTGTGCCATAATTCCCTCACTCTTCTTTAATCATCTTTTCTCCATTAACCCTTTGATCATCTCTTCTGTAAGACAAACTCTGTGCAGCAGGCCCAAACTCAGTAGTCTGCTGCACACACAATTAAGCACCTAAAACCCACCCCATTGCA